ATGTAGATTTGTGCCCTCAGTAATTACTAAGTAATGATGCCTAACTGTCTGCAGAGGTCTCCCTCAGCATGTTCCTTCATTGAACACTGTCTGATCTAGTGCTAGCTTCTGTTGGGATGTTGACTCTTGAACGTGAATCTGACCATGTCATTTGGTTTGCTGGATGGCAGTGGGGTTCAGCTGCTGGGAGAATTGGGTGGGACTAGAAAGATGAGGCAAGGGGGAGGGGGTGGAAATATGCGGAGTAGATTCAACTGATTTTATTTTTAGAATGCTTTTATAAGCGCAAAGCATTCAACAGATCCTTTTCCTGTTTTTCCCCTCCTACCGACCTTCTTTGGTGGTCAGATTTTTTAAAATCAGTGTTCTCCCACTGTTTGCTGCAGCATAAATTGTCATCCAAAGACAGGACTGTTTGTAAGATAGGAGTTTAAAGATTGTTTTTCTCTCATACAATTTGACAGAATCCATTATTGGCATTAGGAAGGCGGTGTCACTGTTAAGTGATTCTAAGACCTGGTTTTAAGATATGTAGGGTATCTCTAATTTATTTCAAAGTGCATCATAAAGTTAGCAAAGTAAACTTAATTTGCCACACTGCATTTTGGGTCTTGGGGTAGATACGTCTTTAAATTAAATGATGTATGGGAACTCCAAAAAAAAAATTTTGAAAAGTCAGTAATTTAGATAGTGGGAGTCAGAAAAAACTGTTTCCAGAATGGATAGTTCTAATTGAAGAGTGATCTGTCTTTGGTGCAAATTAACCCAGTGACCTGATCTATGAAGAGTTTAAGAAAAGAAGTAAATATTTTCCAAGAACCAGTATCACATGCAGGCTCCTGAGGTAGATATAAAAGGTTCTTTGGAAGTTGGCTCTTAATCTTATTTTGAATTAAACGTCAAGGCAGATAACCAATTTTTCCAGTTGCTTTGGAGGTCATTAGGTAGCCTTTGCATAGTTGATAGGGACCGGCGACAAAACCAGGGCCATGGAATTTGAGTGACTTGAAGTTACATGAGCTGATTAAGTAATGGTTCAAATCCAACCCTCTTTTCCAGTGCATGGAGCTGAGAATGGTTGATACAGTTAAACTAATAATCTTGGAGAACTGTCCTTTAGGAGGTTTCTTCTGCTTCCTTTTTCTTATTTCTTCTTACTAGTTAATACTAATTCACATTCCATAGTACTTTAAGGTGGGCAAAAGGCTTTCCTCAAAACGATATTGAGGTAGATAGTATGCGTATTAGACACATCAGGAAACTGAGGCTCTGAAAGGTTAAATGACTTGCCTGTGGTTACATACCTAATTAAATCTTGGTGGGATTGGAACCAGTTTTCCTAACTTTGGGTCCAGCACTGTCCATTTTGCTGTCGTATCTGTCTCTCAGGTTAATCTTAGTCAGATTTACCTTTGCAGTCCTTGAACCTTGAGGAAATAAGCTTTCACTAATGAACCTTACTCATTTGAATTCCATTTCCAGCCTTGGCCACTGAGGAATTGGCAGCTTGTGATGTAGAGATCCTTTACTAATTGGCATCAGCATTCTCGGTTTCAACTGAGCGCCCTTGAATTAAATGGGCAGTGGAGAAGGCGGTACCAGTCTCTCTTAAGGCTGGCTCCTCAGGACGGGTTGAGGCAACACTGCCAGCAGCCAGGTTGTATGTCTAGGACCTGGGAGACATCCACGTCCCGAAACTTTCTTGTCTGCGGATCTGGATCAGCTGGGTTTTAAGAGTGTCACTTGTCAGGGTTATCCCCCAAAGTAATCTTTCCCCCAGGAAGTTACTGCCAGTACAGAGATATAGGAAGACGGTTGGCTGGCTGCAGCTTCCTGTTTGTTGGCTTCTGCATGCAGTGGAAGCATTGCTTTATTCTGGAAACCCTCGCGGCCTCAGTACTGGAGTATTCCTGGGAAGTCATCTACTGTAGACTTGGAGCTGGTGGAAGGCAAGGATGTTTTGTGTCCCAAGTCTCCTTAAGCCTGACAGAGCTGTATGTGGGTTGGTGAATCAATAAGCATTTATTAAGCACCTCCTGTGTGCCAGGCACTGTGCGAAGCTCTCCGTCAGAGAAGCCTTATTGCTTCTGTTGACTTTGGCTCAAGTAGCTAAGGGTGTCTTCCTTAAGTGTTCCCAAAGCCAGACTTGAAGCCCATCTTAGATGCTTGTTGTTGTGGATGTGTTGATTGAGAATACTTGGGCTGCTTTTCAGCAGCTAGCTCTCGAAGCCCTGAGGGTATAATTCCCACTGAGTTCTACAGACTTTCCTAGTCAGCTGTCACACAGATAACTTCTGTTAACAAAATGTTCAGAAATTAGGTTGTTAAGAATGATTGTGTTGTTTAAATTAAGGTCTGTCTTTCCTTGTTGATTTAGGAAGGTCATATTGACAGCGTCAGTGCCGGAGGTAGTTTTCTTGGTTGATGTTACCCCCAGCACGTTCCATGAGTGTCACAACGGCCACCCCTCACTCTAGACCCTCTCTCTCCCGCCAGGTCTTTTCATCTTGAGCTCTACTTCCTTCACAACCAGCAGCCGCCGTAGTCCTGAACGTACCAGAGATGTGCCACTTTTTCTGAAAGCGCTTGGCAATATTGATTCGTCCTAAATAGAATAACCATTTGTGATTTTAACCAGGAGCCTTCGCCAGATTCATGTTTAAGAGCAATTTGGAGTTTGCTTTTTAAACAATGTGGAAAATGCTGTCTTTGCTGAGGTGAAGGGTCTGTTCCACTGTTCTGTGAATAGAACTCTACCAAGGGAATTTTTTTTCTTTTAGGAAAACATGGTTCTCCACAACAACTCTGACTCTAAAATAATTTTTGGTAGTTTGATTGGTCTGGCACTGAATAAGTAAATTAGCTTAGGTAGGATTGTCATTTTTATTATATTAGCTCAGCCTACCATGAGCAGCTGACGTTTTCCAGTTATTTAGATCTGACTTTATTTGTGTGAAAAGTGTTTTGTAATTTCCATGACAGCTCTGAAAGGTTAGGGTGTGTATTAAACATCTCTAACTTCCCTTAATAACTCATTATCAATCTTAGGAATTATTTAAACCCTTCTTCTTGAACCCACACACACATACACACACACACACACGCACACACAATTATTTCCTAGAGTAACTTTAAAAAATTAGATAATGTTTGTGAAATGCTTTTGTAAACCTGAAAACTCTGAACATCAGCTGTTAATATTGTCATTGATAGTGATTGCTGCTGATTAGGCGTGTGTGCAGAAAAGTGTGGGAAAGGGAAAGTATGATTCAGTTGCCAGCCGTCAGTAGTTTTTGGAAAAATAATGCTTGTGTGCATGAAACTGTGTTAAACAAAAAGCTAGATGCCATTGGGTACTAGATTACAGTGCCAGCCGTTAGTGTTTTTGGAAAAGATAATGCTTGTGTGCATGAAACTGTGTTTAAACAAAAAGGCTAGATGCCATTGGGCACTAGATTGTACAGTGCCAGCCGTTAGTGGTTTTTTGGAAAAGATAATGCTTGTGTGCGTGAAACTGTGTTTAAACAAAAAGGCTAGATGCCATTGGGTACTAGATTGTACAGTGCCAGCCGTTAGTGGTTTTTTGGAAAAGATAATGCTTGTGTACATGAAACTGTGTTTAAACAAAAAAGGCTAGATGCCATTGGTACTAGATTGTACAGTGCCAGCCGTTAGTGGTTTTTTGGAAAAGATAATGCTTGTGTGCATGAAACTGTGTTTAAACAAAAAGGCTAGATGCCATTGGGTACTAGATTGTACAGTGCCAGCCGTTAGTGGTTTTTTGGAAAAGATAATGCTTGTGTGCATGAAACTGTGTTTAAACAAAAAGGCTAGATGCCATTGGCACTAGATTGTACAGTGCCAGCCGTTAGTGGTTTTTTGGAAAAGATAATGCTTGTGTGCATGAAACTGTGTTTAAACAAAAAGGCTAGATGCCATTGGGCACTAGATTGTACAGTGCCAGCCGTTAGTGGTTTTTTGGAAAAGATAATGCTTGTGTGCATGAAACTGTGTTTAAACAAAAAGGCTAGATGCCATTGGGCACTAGATTGTACAGTGCCAGCCGTTAGTTTTTTGGAAAAGATAATGCTTGTGTACGTGAAACTGTGTTTAAACAAAAAGGCTAGATGCCATTGGGCACTAGATTGTACAGTGCCGACTGGTAACCGTGCTTGGAGGGGTGGAGATGAGAGACATGAGTGTGGTCTAGAGTGGTCTGGGAAGACCTCCGTGGCAGTGTATATAATATGCTTTTTAAGGCACGTCGTTTTTTTTCTTTTTCCCAAAAATACCTGTTTTGAACTTCAAGGGCAATCCCATTTCTAGTATTCCATGACTTAGTCGCATTAACCCTACTCATACCCTTAGAGATTTATAAATATGGTCTTTTGACATTCATCTTTGCAGACTAGGGTTCTGAATTTTTTTTTAATTTTATTTTTATGGTGAGACAATTGGTGTTAAGTGATTGCCCAGGGTCACCCCACTAGTAAGTGTCAAGTGTCTGCGGCTGCATTTGAACTGACGTCCTCCTGACTCCAGGACCGGTGCTCTATCCACTGCGCCACCTAGCTGCCCCAGGGGTCCTGATTTTTTAAAGAAAACGTCTTCATAGGAAAATCTTTCTTTTTGATATTATTCTATTTTTTATTAGATCCTTTATTCTGGTGTACTGGTAAGCATCATTTCAAATATAGAGGTGTATACAAGGTCCATTGTGCCCAAGGGAGAGGATGGGTTTTTAGGGTTGGCCTTCTTGACTGAGGTTGTTGCACGTGTTTGATCTTTTGGTGACCCCCCAGTCCCTTTCCTGGGTTTGGGACTGTGTTATTGGAGGGAGCAGCTCTGTCCACTTAGCAGTGCCGCTCTGAAGCTGAAGCAGAACCATCCCAGGCTGGCAAGCCATTGGCATAGCCCCCCCCCGCACCTCTCCTCCACGTCCTGCTGATTTCATACATTTGAGTTCTGACCAATTCCGTTCCCTCTCTGTCTGTCACTAGGTGCGGAATGGCCACATCAAAAGAATCACCGATAACGACATCCAGTCCCTGGTGCTAGAGATCGAAGGGACAAATGTCAGGTAGCTTACCCAAAGCTTTTTGTTCTCCCAGACACAAGGTGGGTGCTGTGTGTTCCCCAGCAGAGGTGTCCAGGGTTAAGAGAAAGTGCAGACCCAGCTCCCTGCATTGCATGACTTGGAGTTTTTTGTGCTTTGGGGATGTTGGGGAAGGCTTTGGTGGCTCTGTGGCCTCAGATCTGGATTGTTTTCACATTGAAGGAGCCATCTGATGAGATCTATTGAGTATCCCTCTGAATAACATCAGTCTTTTGGGTTGTTAAGCTGGGTGATTACTTGAAAGTTTTTTGGAGCATAAACTGCTTCTCCAAAAGGTTGAAGGATCCTCTTAAGCCCCGGCTTGAGACATCTAGATGAGGTTAATTTCCCTGTGTTTTCCTTAATCTGATCTTGGTTTATTTTCTTCACATATCGCTTCTGTGCTGCAGAGACACAGGGCTCATCCAGCTGGGGATGGATTGAAGAGAATCCAGACGGTGGTAGGGAAGGACAGTAATCAGGCTTGTTCTCTGTGTTGTCTGTTTCCATAGCACTACATATATCACCTGCCCAGCGGACCCAAAGAAGACACTGGGCATTAAACTTCCCTTCCTGGTCATGATCATCAAAAACTTGAAGAAGTATTTCACTTTTGAAGTGCAGGTAAGTGAGGTGTGTGTGTCTGTGTGTTGTCGTGTCTCTGCTGCCTTGGATTAAGGAGAATTATCCTGTGTCCCTTGTCAGCAGCATTGAATGAGCACTTACCAGGTGCCAGGCCCTGCACTAAGCCCTGGAAATAGGAGAAAAGCAAAAACAAAGTCCCTGCCCTTGGGTCCTTGCTGGAAGAGCTGAAATGTCTCGCATCAGGAGGGCATCTCCCTCTTTGTCTATCTTATTTCCTCTGAACGATAGAATGTGTGATGTGCATGGGGTAGTAACAATCAAGGCATTTAAAGTCTGGTTAGAAACTCTAGGCATTAACTGCTAGAAAAAGACAGCGTTCATGCTGTGATTCATGGCTCTTGCCTGGGTTACTGATGGCCTCAGCTCTCCACTGGGTGTTCAGTGGAGAGGAGGTTCGTGAACTCATCCTGTGGTCTGTGTGCCACCTCCCATGCTGTCATGTGCAGATGGTGTGACAGGATAAGCTTGTTGCTCCTTCCTGGCCATCTGTGTCCAGCATGGACTGTCTCTGGGCTATGCATTTGTCCTCCGTGCTTCGTGTTGAGGGGCTCACCCCATTGGGTTTAGTTGCGCTGTTTGAAGAAGCCCTTCACTTTCTTCCTCCTCTCTTGCCCCGTTCACCTGATGACAGGTTCTAGACGATAAGAATGTGCGTCGACGGTTCCGGGCCAGTAACTACCAGAGCACCACGCGAGTTAAGCCCTTCATCTGCACCATGCCCATGCGGCTGGATGACGGCTGGAACCAGATCCAGTTCAATCTGTCCGACTTCACCCGCAGGGCATATGGCACAAACTACATAGAAACCCTCAGGGTGCAGGTACCCCCTCCTTGCCCAGGCGTGAATCAGAAAAGCCCTGCAGGAGGCATCTGCTCTGTCTTCTGGTGCCCCGCTATGGATCCTGAGATAGTGTCAGGCATTATCAAGGGGCTTCTGCCTTTAGGAGACCCAGATGATGGGGGGCAGGGGGCGCCAAGCAAGGGAGTTTTGGGTTCTCAGGGATAGCGTTTTCTGGAAGGAGGCTTTGAAGAGGAGCTAGAGAGAGACAAGGCCAAGAATACGGAAATTAACTTGAGGCCAGGATGTGTTTTAGAGCCAAGCTGTTACCGAAGGAGTAGAAATGCAGCATCACCACAAAAGGTTTAGGAGTCAGGGAGAGGAAAAGAAGAGACAGTCGACCTTTTTAGCCTTTGAAATGCAGTTTTGCATCTGCAGATCCACGCCAACTGTCGCATCCGGCGAGTGTACTTCTCAGACAGACTCTACTCAGAGGACGAGCTGCCAGCTGAGTTCAAGCTCTATCTCCCAGTTCAGAACAAGGCGAAGGTGAGCTAGTCTTAACCCTGACCAGAGAGCAGAGAAGTAGTTGTGGAAAGCACTATTTTGGGTCTTCAGGCTATGTTAAGATTCTGCTCCATCACTGCAAGTATTTCTGCTTCCCACAGGGCCTTTACAAAACTGATTTTTGTATAAGAATTTTTATTTTTGCTGGTTCTGAATGCCATAACTGCATTGTGGCATTATGGCCTCAGCCTGCACAGGCCTCATCTCTTGACACATATTTTCGGGTGACCCCAGGCAGGTCACTTACCTCTCAGTGCCTCGAGCGGTTGCAGATTTGTCTTTGTTAAGGGGTGGGGGATTAAGGAAGGGGTCCTCACCAGGCATTCCCTGTACTGATGAAATCACAGGTATGGCCAAAAAAGGGTTCTCGGTGCCTTTGATCATAAGGCTTCAGGTGAAGTGACCTGCCAGGGATGGTCTGTGAATCAGATTGTAGTGGTAGCATAACTGTCAGGCCACTTCTGACTTTTAAAGTTGGCAGGGAGGAGGAAGAGCTGGTCTTATTAGATATTCAGCTCTTGGCCCCCTTCCTCTTCTGCCTCACTTCTTGAGGGTATCCTGTCTTATGCTCAGAAGACAAATGCAGGCATTCTTACTGCTCTTTTCAGAGACCTTTTCTATGGAGAGAGGCTTTTTCTCTAAAGCCTGGCAGACTTGCCCCTTTCACCAGTACGTAATTTATGTTAACAGTCTGATCCAGAATGAAGGGTGTGTGGGGTCTCCATGTTCCTTCTAGATGGTAGCAGGGGCCCTTTGTGCTACCTCAGTTGTCTAGACAGATCAGCCACGCTTACCCTCCATGCTCTGGTAGCTTGTGCCAGAGGTCATGGGGGCAGGCAGCTTTTTTTTTTTTAAGCTCTCTACATGCTTGATCATTTACATGTTGTTTGTATATGTTATCTGTGTGTTTTTTATTTCTTCCCCAGCAATAACCAGTACCAGAACACAACATGAGGAATAAGCCCTGGGCCTAATGCTTAATTTAAAAAGGAAAGTAGCTGGAGGACAATGTGAAATACAGAAATATTTAGATAAATTCACTGTGATAGGGTCCTTTTATTTAATAATTTGGTGTCCTTTGTTTTAGGACACCAGTAACCATGTAATAACTCCGTAATTGCATTGTAAGTTCAGTGGGAGATCAGCAGTTCTTGGTCACAGGATGTTTATCCAGCACTTTACTAAAAACCTGCCCACTGTGTGCTAACCAGGCATGGGAGTTTACCCTTCTGCCCGTCCCAGGACAAGCGGAGGTGGCATTTACCATGAAATTACAGAGTTAAGTGTACCTGTAAAGCAGATCCATTCCAATATTTTCTCTTACTGGTTTCTTGTCTTTTTGTTTTATATGTTATCTAAATATATATGTATATCATATGGAATACTTAACAATCTTGAAGTGAATAAAATTTATTCTGTTTTTAAGTCTGTTTCTAGCCTGTACCTTTTTAAATGGTGATATTTTTCTCTCTGATTTAACAAAAAAAATTGAAAAGCTAATTCCTGAGACCATTCTCAATGGACATTGTTTTGGGATTTGGTTTTGCTCCATGGTGGCCAGATTGGAAGTATTGCCATTTAGTTGTTTGGATTTTGGAAAGAGGAAAGAGTTACAAATATTTTGTAGCCTCAGTTATCATTTCTCCCTTCTGGGAAGCCAGAGCATGTAGCCAGAATGAGTCCTCATCCCCACCTCTGAGGTGAACCTGGAGAATGCTTTAGGTAGGCCTTGGCTCATACCAGACTGGTCTGAGTGTTTGCCTGTCTGCCTCCCATCTTTGGGGCCTTCTTGGTGTTCCAGCATCTGAGGGCTTCCTCTGCCTCTCCAAGAGTAGTCCCATGTGAATCCAACCTGTGTAGCTCTCTGTCTGGGAATAGCAGTGCCTCCCTCTTCTCCACTCTTCAGTACTGTGCCAGGTCAGGCCTCTAGACGTCTTTGGCAAAATGGTATAGCAGGCTCCCTTGTCCCTGCCTGCTGTAAGTGAAAGTCCTTCTGGGCTGTGGCTGGGTGTATGGTGAATGAGGCTTTTGTCAAACAGAAAAAAATGGAGTTCCTATTCTTCTCATTTCAATGTAGATGCCTTAATCAAGTGCTTCTGGAAGTCCTGGGAAGTAGAATCAGTCATGTCATGCCCACTCTTATACAGAGTGCCTTTCTCCCTCCACACTCTGTGACCCACTATGTATAGGGATGACCTCACCATCCTCATTAGTGTGGAAGGGGCAGCTCTTGGCCTCCTGGTCTCTGCATGGCCTTAGGAGAGGAAATGTGGGAGCTTGGAGGCTGATGGGTTGTATTTATCTCAAGTGGCCTTGAAGGGCTAGTTGGGGCTAAGAGGGGAAGAGAACATTTTCTCCTTCAAAATGAGGAAGGTGAGAGAGAACTGAGTTGATTTTGGCCGTTGGATATCAGAGGATATCTTTATGTTGAATATCGGATTAAGGCCCGAAGTGTTAGGGATCTCAGCCTGTGCTCTACCTGGAGGGTTGTTTACCCAAGCTAATTTTCACTTAGGATTTTCATTAATGGTTGGAATTGTTTTGGGTTTCTTCCAGGCCGAATGGCCTTGGGGATTGGAGAGAGAGCTGTGCTGGAGATGAGGAATAGGGACAAAATGCTGCGGAGGGCTTGAGTCTGGGGAGAAGGGGATTTATGGTAGTTGCGGTTTCCTGGGAAACCGTTCCATGGAAAGAGGTAAATTCTTGCCTGAATCCTGCACAGATGAAGCAGTGTAATCAGGGCCTTTGTTTGCTCCTCTGTAACATGGGGGTGATGATAATTGCACCTACCTGTAGAGTGTGTGTGTGTGTGTGTGTGTGTGTGTGTGTGTAAACAAGTATTTATTGAGCACCTTAGATGTGCCAGTGCCGAGCGCTGTTTATATAAATATGATCTCGGTTGATCCTCACAACCACCCTGCAAAATAGAGGCTGTTAGGATCCCCCTTTTACAGCTGTACAGGAAGCTGAGGCAGACAGAGGCAAGCTCAGCACTCCTGTCTACTAAGGCAGGGGCTGGGGCACCTGTGGCCTTGAAGCCAGACATGGCCCTCTAGGTCCTCAAGTGTGGGCCTTTGACTGAATCCAAACAAGGTGCTGGGATTACAGGATTGTGACATCAAAGTCATAGATTAAACTCCCCATTCCTCCCCAACCCCACCCCCAGCTAGTGCTCATGGCAGCTGGTGGTGCAGTAGATGGAGTGCCAGGGAGGACTCACCTCCCTCAGTTCAAATCTGGCCTCACATACTGTCTGCCTGTGTGACCGTGGGCAAGTCACTGCTCCCTGTTTGCCTCAATTTCCCTGTCTATAAAATGAACTGGAGAAGGAAATGGCAAACCACTCCAGTATCTGTGCCAAGAAAACCCTCAGTGGGGTCACAGAGTTGGGTAATGGCTCACCCAGCATATACAAAAAAGGCTCTGAGGCTTTCATACCTGCCACTCATTTAAATTGCAGGTCTCCCAGTTAGTAATAACTGGAATTCGTTGTTCCAAAGTTGGGGAGGCTTTCTCTTCGTCCTTTCACACTAACCTTAGACTGTATTTTTGGGGGTTATTTTCCATTTCCAGGCTGTTCTAGATGAGTTTCTAAACTGGTTTTCCTTCCATGTCAGTCTGGGGTGAGGTGGCAATACCTGTGCTTTCCTCCCTAGGGATGGTCTTATGCTCTGTACAGCCTGGAGAGATATGGGGAGAGTCTTTCCGTCTAGGGGGTAGGGAAACAGCTCAAGTCTAGGGCCCTCCTTCCTGGGCTGTCTGTGCACAGGCTTTGATCAGGGCTCTGAGGGCAGGTCTCTACTTCAAAGGCCAAACTTTCCTTTGAAGCCTTAGCTGGGGGCACTGCTGGAGCCTGGCCTGGAGCTCTCAGGGTGGAGAGATCTTCACAAAGAGCCAATAAAGAAGGAGGGAGGGGGACACTTGGAAGGCCTGGGTTTAGCTTGTGTCTTTCTACCTTGGGTCACTTGGCAGCTCCCTAGAGGTGATGACATATTTAGTGTGGCTTTGTGCTAGGCTGGGGAGTGGGAATGGTCAGGTCAGCCGGCCCTACCTGGGGAGAAAGCTAAATTGGGTCTGCGGTGGAAATGCTTTGGGGCGTTTACTTGCTGGTTTCCCCCATGGCTCTCTTTGCCTTCTCTCTGTTCTATCTCATAGTGATTTCATCTGCTCCCACGTGTTTATTTATCTCTATGCTGATGATTCCCAAATTTATCTATAGCCTTTATTTCTCCCTAACTACAATCCAGACTCATCAACTGTATTTTCTACATCTTCTGTGGGGTGTCCCGTGGGCAGCTCAAGCTCAGTCGGCACAAAACAAAGCTCATTCTCTTTACTCCCAAGTCTTTCCTGTCTTCCCAGTCTCCCGATGGGGCATCTCCATTCTCCCAGTCACCTGGACTTGCATCCTTAGTTATCCTCTGCTCCTCGCTCTCATCCTGTAAATGCACTCTGATGTCAGATCTTTTCCTTTCTTCTTGCACCTCTCCTCTCTCCACTCCAGCCTTCACCACTCTCACCCATGCTACTGTGATAACCTGCTGGCTGGTGTCCCTGCCTCACATTTCTCACCTCCATCCTTCCTAACTTAGCCGCCAAAGTGATTTCCCTGAATGCAGATCTGACCATCACACGCTCACATTCAGTAAATTCCAGTAGGGCTCTTACCTCCAGGATCAGATAGCAAGTCTGTGGGCATTTAAAGCTTGTCATAACCTGCACCTCTCCTACTTTCTGTTACTCCTTCCCATTGTATGATTTAGCTGCACGGGCCTGTTTGCTGTCTCCAATCTCTGTCTTTGCATTTGCTATCCTCTCATGCCTTAAATGTCCTCCTCCTTCACTTCTAGTGTCTTTCTACACTGAGCTCAAATCTCACCCCTGTAAGAGGTTTTTCACTGGCCCTCCTTCCTCATTCCCTCTCAGATTACCTCCTGTCTGAACTGCCTGTCTTGTATGTATCTAGCTGTTTGCGTGCTCTCTCTCTGTTAGAGTTCTGTGTTGGGGAGGCAGGGGACTCTGTTTATGCTTTTCTTTATGTTCCCAGCATTTAGCACAGTGTCAAGGCAAGTGCTTAATAAATGTCTATTGCCAGAGAACAGAGCAGTAGAT